CACACACACACACACACACACACACACACACACACACACACACACACACACACACACACACACACATATGATTTCTTTTACAACCCCCGGTATGCCCAAATATGGGAGGAAGATCACTACTTCCATTCTCTGTCCTTCGGCTCGTCACAAGAGACCATCCAGGCAGAAACCCAATATTTTTACTGTTGCCTTTTTGTTACATTTTGTTGTATTTTGTTGTATTTGTGCTGATAAATAAATAAATAAATAAATAAATATATTTATATATATATACTTACAATCTCATAAAACACGCACGTCACTGTTTCTTTTCCATCTCTCAAAAGGAAAGTTTTCGAACCAAATTGTCCAGGGGTAACGGCAGAGTCCAGAACACCTAAATAATGCAGCATAATTATTGGTCTGAAAGCTTTTCAGAGCGAAGACAAAACCTGTTCTGTGGGTTTTGTAAGAAGAGACGTGGTGATCTAGTAACGTTAGCCAAGATATATGTACAGATTTAGCACAGGTTCACAAGAGAGAAACAAATGTGGGCTCTTTGGTGCTCTCTGAGCTTGCTTTCTTGCAGACGTTTCATTACCTTACTAGGTAACGTCATCAGTAAGGAGTTCTGTTTGCTGTCAGTTTATATTCTGGTGTCTTGCCTGTCTGTGGGGAGGGTGGTCTTAGGGATTCTTTGTTTGGGCTGTTTATTGATGACTTTTGAGCAGTTTCTCTATTGGGGTATTATTTATGTGATTGTTGATCCTAGGCCCATGATGACGAACCTATGGCATGTGTGCCACAGGTGGCACACGGAGCCATTTCTTAGGGCACGCATGGCGTTGCCCTGTGAGCTCCAGCGCACATTCCCTGAAGCCTCTGGAAGGCGGAAAACAACCCAACATGCAAACCGGAAGTTCTGGTTCGTGCGTTGGGCCATTTTTCTCCCTCCAAAGGCTTCAAGGACGCCTCCTGAAACCTTTGGAGGGCGAAAAACGGCCCTACTGGCAACTCGGAAGTCGGGAAAGGGCCGTTTCCAGTCTCTGATGGGCCTCCAGGGGGGATGGGGAGGATGTTTTCGCCCTCCCTAGACTCCTAGAAAGCCTCTGAAGCGTGGGGAGAGCGAAAAACGGGTCCACCGTCCCATCACACACCAAAAGCAGGGGGAGCGCAAGGAGTCGCGTGCATGCGCGGGGGGAAGGGCACATAGAATTTTGGGTGTGGGCACACACATGCGCGCGTGCACACACACACACCGGGCTCCCCCCGCTTTTGGTATGCAATGGCGAAAAGGTTAGCCATCACTGCCTGATCTGGGTGCTGATTACTGGTGCAGAGGTGCTGTTTTTCTCTTTGGGGCTGGTTGATGGTCTCTTTCGCATAGTCTACATATGTTGCTAGTGCCCATGTGTCTGTTGATGACTGATTCTTCGTCACAGTGCCGGGCTTCTAGAAATTCCCTGGCATTTTTGGACTTGGTCAAGGACGGTCAGATTTTCCCAATTCCTCACTTAGCAGCAGACATTTTGAACTCCGTTGCGGTCGCATGTGGAGGAGGACTCTATCTGTAGTGGGCTTCTGTTTTATTTTTTATTTCAGTAGAATTTGCAACAATGGAAACTTGGGATGGCTCCGGGAAATTCACAGTTGTGACGGGCCAAAATCCAATGGTGGATTTTGCCTCCTGTAAGTAATCTAACCTTTCCTTACACATTCTCCGTTTCCGCTGCCCCCACCCTGTTTTGACTCTAGGAAACTCAACATTTCAGAGTGAGTGCGCTGATAAGGGGAAGGACAGCCCACATTACTTGTAAAATGCCTTTTATTCGAAATGCTGAAGAAATATTTTAAAAATAATTGGCTCCTTTGGGGTGATAAGACCAATATTCTTGTAGGGAAAACTGCCCCAACAATCTTACTATACTCACCCAGCACTTCAAATAACAGTGGAGTTTTCGTAGAATACTGACTCCAGTGCTTCATGCTTTTGATGACAGCAGACAAAATTCGAAGAGAATTCTTTTTCTCCTTCGCTTTAGAGTGGCCCTCTGGCCTTTTCTTTGATACAGGGACAAAAAAAAGAAGACAGAAAAGGCAAAGATTATTACGTCATGTTTGAGTTTAAATGAGAACGTTGCTATTTACAGTTTGTCCTCGGCTTAAGTCTACTGCTATTGCTTACGACCATAACCGAGTGCGAAATTTCTGTTGTTAAGTGAGACATTTGTTAAGTGATGATCTTTCTGGCCACCATTCTTAAGTGAATTACTGCCGTTGTTAAGTGAGTCACACGGATGCTAAGCAAATCTGGCTGCCACAAAAGGAGACTTTTAACAGATTAACAGAGTTGGAAGGGACCTTGTAGGTCATCTAGTCCAACCCCCTGCCCAAGCAGGAGACCCTACATCATTCCTGATAGATGGCAGTCCAGTCTCTTCTTGAAAACTTCCAGTGATGAAGCTCCCACATGACCACAGGACGCTGCAACCGTCATAAGTATGAACTAGTTGCCAAGCATCCAAATTTTGATTATGGGGACACTCTTAAAGTCGTAAGTGTGGGAAAATGGTCACCAGTCACTTTTTTGAGCGCTGTTGTAACTTTGAAGGGTCACTAAATGGACTGTTATAATTCAAGGACTATCTATATAAGTCACCAAGTGCTTCAAACCCCTTTTTTCAGTTTGGACATCTTTATAAAAATACACCCGTGCACGAATCTTTTACCTGAATTGTTTTGTTGCTTTGCAAATGGTCATCTTTTTCCTTATGGGTGTTTTGTGGGCCAGGGCTGTGTTTAAATGTGTAGCAGGGATCCCGAGTTTGCAGATTTCTGAGCCTGGCTGTTGGAACTGCAGGCCACTGGGAAACAGCTGGATCCCAGTCTTCTGCCTCTTCTGTTCGGCTTCTCTGCGATCCCTGTGGCAGGCCAGCTGATTTCTGGTACATGGCTCCAGGCTTCATCCAATGACTGGGATGGTCATCCAGTTGCGAAAGCTTTTTGTCCTCTGTTCTGCGGCCGAAAGCTGGGAAGTCATTTCTTTTCCAAACATTAGTACTTTCCGCCTGCCTAGAGGAAAAAAGCAGAGTCATCACCCTGTCAACACAAGTGCGTCTAGTCAAGGATGTGGTTTTCCCAGTTGCAATGGATGGCTGTGAAAGTTGGACCATAAGGAAGGCTGAGCGCCAAAAAAATGAAGGCTTTTGAACTCTGGTGCCGGAGAAGCATTGAGTCCCTTGGACTGCAAGGCCATCCAACCGGTCAGTCCTAGAGGAGATCCACCCTGACTGCTCTTTAGAAGGCCAGATCCTGAAGAGGGAACTCAAAGACTTTGGCCACCTAAGGAGAAGGAAGGAAGGACTCTCTGGAGAAGAGCCTCATGCTGGGAACGTTGGGAGGGCAAAAGAAGAAGGGGACGACAGAGAAGGGGGTGGCTGGATGGAGTCACCGAAGCAGTCGGCCTGAGCTTAAATGGATTCCGGGGGATGGGAGAGGACAGGAAGGCCTGGAGGGACTTTGTCAATGGGGTCGTGATGG